CGGACAGCTTAGACGGCATGGTAGATCATTGATAAAAATCAAGAACATCAGTGGTCCCAGGATAGAACCCTGCGACACTCCTGATGACGAGCTGTGCCAAGATGATCGAACTCGATTGACCTTGGTGCAAAATTGCCTTTCAGTTAGGTAGTCCTTCAACCATGACAGAAGTGGTTTACCTAGACCTACCTGGCTTATTTTGTGTAGGAGAAGGTCATGGTGAACAGTGTGAAATGCCTTCTCAAAGTCTAGAAAGATCACATGGACAGGAACATTCATATCCCAGCATGATGTCCAGTCGTCCCAAGCTGATAATAAGTTAGTGACGCAGGATCCTCCTTTCCTGAAACCGTGTTGGGCTTCATGGAGTATTTTAGACCTATCCAGATATTCCCTGATGTGATCATCAATAATACTTTCCAGTACTTTCGATACCACTGGGAGTAGAGCTACTGGTCTATAACTGGTGGGATTTTGCCTATCCCCACCCTTGAAGATCGGAGAAAGGATGCTTCTTTTCCATTCCTTTGGCAGTTTCCCCGATTCCATGGAGTGTTGGAACAAGTCGCATGAAGGCCTACAGAGAGCTTCGGCGCACTATTTCAGAACAGATGGCCTGATGTCATCACAACCTGGGGACTTCCCAGGTATGAGTCGCTGCAGCTTTCTCAGTACTATTGCAGGGTTTATTTGGGGGGGGTGGCTATTTGGTCTTCCTCCTGTGAAATAGTCATGCCACCATTTTGGTTCGTAACGGTAATACCCACACTGCTGTTAAGCTGTTTGGCGAAGGCTAAACTGAATGTTTCAGCCATCTCCAGACTAGTGAGATATTGACCGTTTTGGCCTACTAAAGCGCAAGCCCCTTGGTTGGTTGGTTTCCTTTCCGACATGAATCGGTACAAATTCTTGGTGTTTGCCGGGAGTTTTTTGGCAAGGTTAGCCTGGAATGACCTTCTGTCCCTCCTGACTTTTGCATTGCACCGGTTCCTGAGTTCCAGGTATGCATCATGGTGGATCTGGCTTTTAGATACGCGCCACGTAAACCAAGCCTTCCGCTATGCTTGCAGAATACGCTGCGTGCCTCTCTTTAACCATGATGATTTTCTTTTGGGCTGTGCTGTGACTAAAGGGACGGTATCCGAGATTACTGTATGAATAATCTTCTTTACCGCTTCCCAGTGTTCATCCAAAGACAGCTCATCCCATGCTAAGGGCCAGTCTGCATCGGACAAGAGCCTCCGCATTTCAGCATCGTCGGTCTTGCTATAACACAGACATGGCTGCGTAGCGTCCCACTGCAAATGCTCACAGAGAACGAGGTCGAAACCCATGACTTCATGGTCACTACTTCCTAGAGGAGTCATGACCTGGACCTTTTCGACGAGTAGTTGGTCACTAGTTAGAATGTAGTCTAGTTTTGGTGACTTTCCACTAGGGCCCCACCTAGTGTCGTCTCCAACGTTCTCAGTCAGTCCCGTGTTCCGAATAGCTTGCAGTAGATTTCGGCCGAATTTTCCCTTGGCATACCCCGAGCCAAAGTTCAGTGATGGGGCATTGAAATCTCCAGCAATGGTGATTTGGTCATAGCCCAAGTCTCGTATCCCTGTGATAGTGCTGAGCAGTAGCTGATTGTGCTCTGCCCCACAGGTGGGAGATCGGTAGATGCCACCAAGTAAATGCCTGGTGTGGCCTACGGTGAAATGACACCATATGGAGTCTGGGAGTTCAATAAGTGGTGGGTCCGTTGCGCGAACACATTTAAGTTGCCTATCAAAGTATATGGCAACTCCCCCCTCCTTCCTTATTATCCCTGTCTCTCCTGACCAAAACCATATCACCTATACTGATTTCATTATCGGCGGTAGTGGCGGTTAGCCATGTTTCGGTGAGAATGATCATTTTCAGTTGTAGGTGTGCTTGGAGATTTCGGAGTTCACCTATTTTTACTCTCAGCCCCCTCACATTGCTATACAGGCAGCTAACAGTGAGTCTTACAACCTCAGCGTGTTGTGGGGTAGTTGACGTGAAGCTGTCTGCTGGTAGGGAACTTAGTGTTGGGACTAGTTGGCCAATTCCGATGGAACCGGCCCGTTGTGGTATTTTCCCTTGGATTTAGGCAGGACACTTGGGTGGCACAGACTGTTATTCTCAGAACTGCATCGCTCGAGTGTCACTGAAGCTTGGGGACGTATTAAAGCCTCCGTTTGCTGCCTCCTTATGGTTCGAGGTCTGCTTTAGCAGCATCGGATGTGTCCTCCTAATTTCCCCTTGATTTCATACCACCGTTGAAGTGCTATGGCCAACTGCTCTGGGGAGTTGAATGTGACACTTAGCAGCTTTGGGGAGCTAATCAGTGTGAGATGAGCGGGGCGAGGTAGTCGGTAAACGGAGATGGCTCCAGAAGCGCCAAGGGCCATCTGAGACGACAGCCATCTCTACTGCTGTGCGTTATGCATGTGTTTTTCACAGGCAGTGCCCGTTTCCAGCTCCGGAACACCGTGCACTACCATAGAGGTAGAAGGCAAAAGTTCCGGTGACTCCCTCGCCATTTGTCTGACAGCCCATGGTCTGTCTTGTCTCACCCTTATGTTAGAGCTTCTGTCGATGGCTAGTACCTGAGCCATCAATAGTACCTTTTCGGCCTCTTCGGCAGAGTCCACTGTAACCCGTAATGGGGGTGGCTTACCTTGAGGTGTGTGGACACCCCTGTACAGCCTGCACAATTTCACTGAAATAATATTCAGACCTAGTTTATTGCACAGGTTGGACCACTGTTCCTGATCAAACAGGGCCCGCTGTTCAAGCAAGCTGTCCTTGCTCACAGGTACGTTAAAGAGGATGAGCGAATTAGACCGATTAACCTCAGACTTAGGTTTGGTCTTTGGCTTCTCGTATTCCTTTGCAGCATCAGCAACTTTAGGCTTCATCGGGTTCTGGCCAGCCTTTATTGTGTTGCCAAGCTTGCTTGTGGATGCAAGTGGTGCTTCTCTAACTCTATCTTTCCTTGATGTTTTAGGTCCAACCTTGTGAATCTTCACCTTGTGAAAATTGGCATTTTCGGTCAGTAGGACTGGAGTGTCCTTCTTACTGTCTGTGCCAAGTTTTGGCAATGTGATGTTTGCAGGTGGGGAGCTGCATAAGACCGTGTTGGAACACAAGGGCGGCGTGTTGTTTTTGCAAACCGCAGACACGCTCTGTGTGACTACGCCAGGGCGACAGAGTGGACAGATGTACCAAAACCACGGGCACGGGTTATTTCTCATAAACTCGTAGTATGATTTCGGTACCTCTTTGTCGCAACGGCAGTGCACCCACCGTTTGCAAAATCTGCATTCGAAAGCTGAGTCAGCTTTAGAAACAATGATATTGCACGCCCGGCATACGTCTCCCTTACTTGGTGACGCCTTCGAGGTTTTATGACGTCTTGAGCGTTTCCTTTTAGGTTTGTTCTACTTCACACATTGGCTTTCAGTTGGTGCAGGTGTAGTATCCTGTCCTACTAGTATTGCCTGCGCCGTTTCAGGAGTAGACTGGCAATGCAGGCACAGTATCAGGACAGACGAGTCCTACACGGGTCTTTAGGATGGGTATGCGACTTGGGGTTGGTGTCCCTGCGTTTTTGCCTTCTCTGGCTGAAGCCCTTGTGACTACAGAGTAAGGTGTTTTGGTGCCATTTCTAAGGTTACTTTCTACAGCCATATTAACTATCGCTAAAACTTATGCTGTATAAGAATAAGAGTGAAACAGTATCTACCCACAAGAACAAGAATAAGACTGAAAAAGTACAAGACAAGGAAAAGAAAAGGTTTTCGACTTTACCTAGTACTCTCTGGATGATCGGCTTCACAGCAATCACGTGGTAGACCAACAAGTCTTGTTTGTCTGAACGAGTGAGGAAGATGCTGCTACAAATATAGCACCTGAAGCTTTGTCAGTAGTTCGAGACAGCTGGACTTAACACACAGAGATTCAATATGTAAGTAATGGTTGAATTTAATTCACCGGCTAGGAAGATCAGGTTTCCCAAGCGGATAATTCACAAAATAGGTATTTTCCGGTTATAGAGGAAAAGTCACGTTGTAGAGTTTCTTATAGCTGCATCATAGCTATGATGACTAGTCATCATAAAGTCCACCAAACACTCTGTCTGCGACATCTGTATCAGTTTGTCCCCGTTGGTAGTGGTGTTCAACCAGTTTTTGCAGTTTTCATCACCACCAGATCCGTTCGTAGAAACTGGATGAGAACTTTTCAAGCAGAGATTGAGATTGTGTTCCTTCGACCATATTGAGAAATATCTGAGAATGGATACATATCAGATAAATTCATCTTACCTCTGCTAAACAATTCCTTATCTTAGATCACCCGTCACATTTTCTCTTCTGTAAAAGCAAATATTATACAAGTGACTTATCTGGCAACTCTAAACAATAGGAACCCAAAACGAAACGACTTACGAACGCACAAATGACCTCGTCAAGGACCCATCAGAAGGCTCAAAAAAACGACAATAGTCGTCCCAGGCAGCACTAAGCGCTAGACAATAGGCAATCATACACATGCCCTGCGCTTAGGGGTCGGCTCAATATGTCCTTTCTGGAGGCTGTTGTCGTATATCCCTAAAACCTATTGCTGGAAAAAAGAGTCACCTGATCGGTCGCTCAGGGTCATTTGTGCGTTCGTAGGTCGCTTCGTTTTGGGTTCCTATTGTTTAGAGTTGCCACTTATCTATCAGTTACAACCAACTGAAAGAGATAAAATCTTCAAACTTTATGATTCTCTGAATAAGTTACCCATTAATATTCTCCTTGTCAGTGGATCAAATGCTTATCACATCAGTGAAATTTATTCACATGTTAACTTGTTCCGTTAAGCTAAAAAAAATAATGTTTATTCGCTTTTATTATTGTTATTTCAAAGCCCGCCTCAGTAACGTACGACACGTATTAGCCGCAACGTTTATGCAAAGGAAAATCTACCAATCACAGTGTGCGTAAGTGAGCTTCGAGTGCTCAGCCTCTCCATAAGCCATTTGTGCCGCTATCCTATATCGCTGGTATTTCGGTTGTCCTCTGTTTGTATCTTGGGATGCCTATCCACAGACACATTAAAAACGTAGTGCATAACTACACGGATGCTGAGAGAAAAGTCCGTGAAGCCACTTCGAATGATCCCTGGGGTCCTAGTAGCACTTTAATGGCTGAAATAGCAGACAAGACTCATAACGTAATGGCATTCACGGAAATAATGCAAATGATTTGGCGGCGATTGAATGATAAAAGTAAAAATTGGCGTCATGTGTACAAGTCACTTGTTCTACTGGATTATTTAACGAAAACAGGCAGCGACAAGGTGGCTACACAATGTCGGGAAAATATTCACTCGATTGAAACACTCAAAGTGAGTTTCTTATTGCAAATGATGATTTTCAGTAGTATCTGTGGTGTCATTGCTTACAGTCATCGTAGGGGTCTTTCTTGTGCAGTAACAATGGACGTTTGTTTAGCAAGATTATCTCACCTTTGTAGGATGTTTTGAGTCTCCATTTATGAAGCTTCTTATAAGTCTGACCTTTTACATCATTTTTCTTCCAAGAGATACTTTTGGTGTTTGCTTGATTTTATCAGTCCTTGGAGAAGTGGTTGTTAAAGTTTGATTAGATTTTGGAGGTTGTGTTCTAGGTTGTTTTTGTAGTTTTATATTCAGATAATAGGGATTGAAGGCTCCTGTTACCTATGTCAATTCTTGCGATATTCATTCCTGCACAGATCTACTTTCTCTTTGAAAGCGTTCACCGATGGAGCTAGTACTACTGAGTCAGGTAAGGAGTTCCAGTCGGTGACCAGTCAGTGAGAGAGTCTAAATTCTATACGTGTTTTATTCGACTTCGGTTTGAGCACCTTTTCATGGTGACCTCGTATCCTAGAGGGGAAGATAAGACTGGGAAGGTCAATCCCTAAATCACCTTATTATATACGGTGTGCCGAAATTGAGTTGTCTCTCCTCCTTCGGTATGATAGTTGGAAGAGATTTAAATGCTCCATCCTCTTATCATAAGGAAAGTGAGATACCACTAACTAATCTGGTTCCTATCCTCTTTATTCTTTTCAGGATATGTGCTTCCTTTCTGAAGCATGGACTCACCTTTTGTATTCACTATTCTAGTTGTGGCTTGATATATATTGCACAGAGTACTTGGAACATACACTCGTCTAATCGTTTGAAAGCCCTTCGAAGTGCCCATAGCATTCGAAAAGCCTTAGCTGAGGCTGTATTACAATTTACCGTTGTTTTTAAGTCATGGCTGACAATAATTCCAAAGTTCTGTCTTCTGGCCGCTCTGTGTCCCCCAGGGAGCAAGACATGTAAGACTTCTGACCTAGGTGCACTACCGCTCCTTTCTTGGAATTCCAGAGGTTAGCCCATTCAGCTAATTTATCTAGATCGTTTTGTAATACCACTCTATCATCAATATTATTTACGGTTTTCTATATCTCAATATCGTCTGCAAATAATAAATAAGATGAAGTAAGAATTTTCGCTAGTTGAATTGGGTATAATAGGAATAGCAGGGGGCCAAGTACAGTTCCCTGAGGTATTTAATTCACTACTGCTTCCCACGCTGACAGTACACCACTAAACCTTGCTTTTTGCCTTCTATACGAATATGTGGTGTACTTAAGCTACCGATGGCAAACTATAAAGTGTTCACAATCAAAATCAACTTAAATTTGACAGATTTCTTAGCACTTTTCTGTTCATGTTAAGTGCATTGTTCGTATTTTGACGAATTCACCTGACTTTCTAGACAGTGATAAGAATTATTATTTTAATCAGGAATAACAAAATTTATGAAACCCTTTAGCGTTATGCACACTGGATGCTAAAATATTAACATTATTATTGCTTACCTGGTGGCAGTTTTAGGCAATTGCGATGCCTGTTCATCGGCTCATTTTTTCACTTAACGTGTCTTAGGGTATGTAATAATTTGTTCAGCTAACTTTAGTAAGCATTAATTTTGCAGTCTTCTATACCTGAGAAACAAGTTTCCCCTCGTGATTGTTCTGTATAGTTGTGCCTCTAAAAGCAATTTGCAAGAAGTTAGCTCTTCTTCACCCGAAGACGGTGGCTGTATGTGTTTATTCTAGCTAATACGAAGTGTTTTCCGGAACTTCGGCGCTGAATTTTTTTTAATGATGATGTTTGATGGTGTTATAACTGAACTGATCTGAATAGACCCCGTCGCTACTTTGTTATGTCTGCGCCTGCTAATTACTGTAACGTTAATGAACTTGACTGGTACGCTAATACGTCTATTTGTCCGTTGTACCTCCCGATTTACTGAGCCATGCATATATCAAAAGACAAAGGCTGGCCTGTGACTGTAAGATATTGTATTATACATCTATTAGGAAACAAAACATCATATTTATCTATTTAATTTATCATAATACAGTTGGCTCACAACTGTGAGAATGGACTGTTCTTATTGGCTGGAAATTTCTATTCTGATTGTTTGGTGATCTGACAAAGACCAAGGTGAGACAAAAGACGATGAATTGATCACACACTAAATCACAATATGCATGAGAAATGATAGATCCACATAGTAACTATATGATAAATCACACGATTCGTGAGAAAGGATGATATACTATTTTATGCTGGGTCCTATCAGATGGGTTTGAAATAATATAGGAGGAAGTCTGGGAGAGGAGGTACCAAAGAACTATGTGAAGGGAAGTAAATAAATATAGTAGATGTAATCTACATAAACATCACACATTTCCAACCCAACAAAGATGGTGCCACTGGGAATTACTTACACGCTTGTGCCACACAGTTTTCTGGAGACGGTATTGATAGGGTATGGTCGCCGCATTTCCTCAACTCAGATCCTGATGTTCTTGGATATGGACCAGACTGACACTGGAGTCGATGTTAGGGCTTTTGTTTTCCAACTAGAAATTTCATTTTTCTGAACGCTTCCAGCACGTACACAACTCTTTAGACAAACGTTTTGACTACTGAAGACTTACACGTCAAGATGAAAGTTGAAACTTTTACCAAATTTGTAAAACCATTTTGCAAAATACATACCATACTTACAGATGCTAATCGCCAACTGACTAAGTGTAACTTGAGGAGGCTGTATGTCATAAGATATCGTCAGCATATTCAAGACCAAAAGGTTTTTCTCTGGACAGTTAATCTGGTACCAATCAGCTGTGCAGCAGTCTCCTTTCAGCCAATGGATCTTGGGTCCAATTCCCTGTCCACCTTCTTCAGCGTAGGCAAACAGCATAGTGTCATCAACCCCGTTTACAGTAATTGTCGCCCATAACCTGCGATAGGGGAGAAAATAATCCATTTATTAACCTGATTTGAGTCTCGACACCATCTTCAAAAGATCACAGAAGGGACGCATACTAAAGCATTGTCGGAATCAGAACAAGTGCCCAAAATGTACAGCAGTCCTATAAACATTCATATCGGTAGCCGAATGGGGGTAGGGAGAAGGTAGTGCTTCGTGTATGTGTTTTTTAGTTGATGATAGTTGTCTACTCAAAGCCTCAGTGTGACCTACGACTGTCTAGACGACTATTATCAGAGCATACTCGTCTCCAGCCCCGCAGTATTTATCAACACGTTCGTTGAATGCGTCACTCAGTTGCTGGCAACATATTGGAAATGTGATCCTTACTGTGAGAGAACTTTGTAGGGTGACAAAGACGACTGTTGATATGAATCCTGTGATATCCGGCTGTTGACCGAAGGGTGTGTATACTGCTCACGAGTCCGCTCCATCCTCCTTTATGACTGACTGACTGGCTGGCTGTGAGACATGGCCATTCGTATAGTGGAAGACATGAAGAGACAGGCTGGCTAGCCAGCTTTCTTTGATTCTAGGTGTCTGCATTCTATCTCCTGTGCTAGGTGGTGTAGGTGGTTGGTGTAACAGGGTGAGTGAGCAACATTAAGGTGAGGCATCGGTCGGTTGAGTGCCAGGTAAGTAAGTGGGAGGAGGAGGGGGAACCAATCGACAAGGTTGTGAAGCATTTACTGCGATCGAGGTGGATAGTTAGAACGTGTGATACTCGCGCAGGCATGCCTGCTTAACCTCGACAACGGGCAATGTTAGCCACTGACTGACAGGATGGATTGATCAGGTTGGAAAAAGTTAGCTAGTGGTAGTGTTGGTGGTGGTGATCAAACAAAAACATGGCTTCATCATCAGTCAATGGAATCTACAACAGCAAGTTTAAGCCAGTCAGCCAGCAAGCCAGTCACGTAGGGAGGTGTAGACTACCTGACTGATTGACTGCCTGGTTAGGGTCCTCGGGATGGTGGTGAGAGTCAATGAAGGCTAGAGAAAATTGGTGATATGGTTGGCTGAAAGTCTTTCTCAGTGATGACTGGCGCTGGTGCAGATGCATTAACTCTTTGTGATGATTTACCTTATCCAATACTGTGATTGGACACTAGTCAGTGACTAGTGTAGTGTGTCTGGCACTTTGTTTGGTACAGACTGAATTTTATAAGTCAAGTTTGCAATGTGGCCAACATTCTAGGTGGCTTGCCATCATGGTGCACTTTGCATTATCTATTGTAGATGGTTTGAGGCAATGGACAGGAGGCGTTGGGTCTAGGTTTCGTGCTAGTTGGCACTCGTCAGCAAAGCGTATCTGCATCAGATACACAGGTACAGAAGGCTTGCTTGACATTTTTCAACCAACTTACATCTCTCTCTGGCTTAGTAGACGTGATATCCGGCTGGTTGGCAATCGATCGATGGGCTTGGGTAGTGCTCACCAGTTCGCTCCGTCCTCCTTCATGGCTGGCTGGCTATGAGACATAGTCACTGAAAGTGGAAGACATGATAAGCCCGGCTAGCTAGCTAACTGTCTTTTATTCTAGGTGTCTGTGACTTGTCTTCTGTTATTAGGTGATAGGTGTAAGCAATCAACTCGCTGTTGTTGGCTGGGCTGATACGACACCCGAAATAAGTGAAACGGTGAACACGCTCAGCTAGCCAACCAACCAGCCACCACTTCACTCGTGCCTGCTAGAAGTCAACGTAGTTCAGTCCTCTAGCATCATCTTACTTTTGATAGCAGGAGCGAATTGCATGCCAAACATTCGAAGATTGCTGCTGAAGCTCAAGGTGTTCAGAAGACTCGGCTATGTTTTGTCAGCGTCTTCACCTAAGGGGGGATGACTGTATCATTATCAGGATATTCTTAGTCAACGAGATTATTCCCTGGTGGTAACAAGTCAATCTCTGAGTGGCTGAAGTCAGTTAGGGTTAAGTTCAATATAGTACGTCAATGATAAAATTAAACGGAAATGGGAACACTGGGCTGTTACCGTTTCCGTAGGCTCTCACCTGGCTGGCTGGCTGGCTGACTGCATGAGTTCCAGTAGAGTGAGTGCCTTGATCAGTGTGATTTATTTCCTTGGCATTCTCGGTATTTTCATTCACTTACTGTATATTCTACCCTAACTTGGTTTCATATAATGTTCAGAAATGTAAAGCAAATGAGATTGCTTTTTGTTTTTTTTCTCACTATATTACTTAAATTTCTTTCGTGTGGAATAGAGCAGACAATGGAAATCAGTTAGTTTTCCTATCTGTCTTATAGTTTGTTGTGAGTGCTCTTTTTTATTTAACTGAGAGCAGCACTTGTTAGGCGATAACCATTGCAGTTAACGTTCATATTTAAATCAATATTATATATATATATATATATATATATATATATCTGTTACAGTCACTTTCAGTCAACATTATACACTTTTATATGCATTTTATTACATGTATAAACAGGATTTTGAATATGTTGAAGATGGCAAAGATTGTGGTCAAAATGTTCGTGAGAAAGCACGTCTATTAAGTTCACTTCTTAGAGATGAAGAACGTCTGCATGAAGAACGTACAAAAGCTTTATTAGCTCGTGATCGTTTAATGCATGGTGGACTTGGAATAACAGCTTCTGCTTCAGCTGGTGGTGATTCACCAAATAAATATGGATTTTCATCTACTGGTCGTAGTAGTTATCCAATTGGATATCCTGGTTCAAGTTATTTTGAAAAATCAACCTTACCTTTACCTTCAAGTATGTCTATGTTAAAATGGGGGGGGGGTTATTTTACCCTTAATTCTTTTCTTTTTTTAAAGTGATTTTTGGTGTTCAAAGTTTTGATCACGGAATGATGCTAGTTAAAGAGAGACAGAAACATTGGAAACCAGTAGGGACCCGATCAATAGCCAGTGCATGAATTCTAACTTCTACCAATTCGTGATTTAGCGCGACCGCCAACGAATGTCATTAGTGGGAAATCTATCCTCACACTTGACTACTGGTTGGACCTCACTGGTCACGACTTCTCACTACAACTCCAGGAAACTCCGTCTTGTAGAAAGTCACTAACAAGCATCAGATTAATTTCCAAGAGTTGGTTTGTAAGGATTAGATTTGTTTTTACGAGTTTGACCACGGATTATTGATATCATTTAGAGAAGCATTGAAAACCAGGGAGTACTGGACAGGGCTGTTTCGTCCTAGTCGTGGACTCTTTATCAGTACGCACCCACTGATGTTCGAACCCAGGACCTTACGGGTTCGAGGCGAGCTAGCTCGTAGACCATTAAGCCGCTGAAGCCCGACCCAGTGGTCCATGAATTCCAACTTCTGCCAATTCATGCACGATATATGGCGTGACTGGCACTAGCGAATGTCATTGATGGTGAGTACTTGTCCTCGTACCTGACCGACCTGCTGTACTCCCCACCGGTCAAGACTTCCCACTAGAATCCAGGTAACTACCTCTACCTGAATTGGACCAGTCACTAGTGAGCATTAGGTTGGTATTCAAGTATTGGTTTGCAGGAATTTGATTGATTTCAGGATTTCATCATGCATTGAGATCGGTTAGAAGACCATTGGAAAAACCAGCTGGGAGTACTGGACAGCTGTTTCGTTCTAGTTTGGAACTCTTCGGCAGTATACCCAACAGCAGTTGGAACTTGGAAATTCCGGTTACAAGACAAGCTCGTAGACGACTATTCAGCCACTGGGACCTGAATCTCTAACTTGAGACAAGTTAACTCTTGAAAATTGATCTGATAGTCGCTAGTGAGAAGTCGTGACTAGTATGGGAGTGTCCACCAAGTTAGGCCGTGAGTAGGAATACTCGCCAGCGATGACATCATTGGCTGGTGTCAGTCGTGCTAGAAGTTCATGGGATTGCCATTGAAAATTGGATTTCAGTGACTGAATGGTCTACGAGCTTTTCTTGTAACCGAAAAATCCTTGATTCAAATTCTTGTGGCGCGTGTAATGCTTAAGAGTCCTCCAAAGCCTCAGGATGGTCGGGGGTGGGTGCCTTGCGCTGCGGGTTGGCCACCCCTCCGCACACCTCTTGAAATGCTCCCATATGACCGGGCGTCTTACATAGCCTCTCCTGAGGAAGTCCTACTCACTGCCTTCACGTGGCGGAGGTGTTTTTCACCAAAGTGAGAGGGCGAAAGCGGATATTCGGCGCTCTTCATCGGGTTGACTGTCCATTGGATGACAGTCTAGGGGAGATGGCTAAACCCTGATTCCAAACCTCCAACGACTGGCGTATGAAGCTCACTGGAGCTCACCGGCAGACGTATGGACAAAGGGCTTGTTGGATGTCCTGGATGTCTGGCCCCATTGAAAAAGGCGTATGCACCGAACTCCGGTCACCGGCTGCCAATGGATAGTGGACTCCCTACTCCACTCCTACTGCCTTGTAGGTCACACTTGGTTGTGTAAAGGCTAGAGCTGCACTCAAACAAAAGGCCGGGCGATTCTGGGGACATCACTCGTACCAAATTCCCATGAAACTTCATGAACTCTCTTACAAATGACTCTCACCATGCTACGGCGTTCCCGGTAAGCGATGCGCCCTGTGCTCACCCGGTGGCCAGTGTGAACCCTGTCGCAAAACCTTGCATCAGATCGCCACGCCTGGGCAGTGATGATTCGAGACGTTCATGAAGCCGGCTCATCCTCCCGTAGGAGATAGCCGAAGTAAAGTAAAAGTAAGTAAACTAGGTGGGATCTGGAACAGTTTGTGCATTTAACCTACGGTAATCGCCACAAGGTCGCCAATCTAACCCATTATTCTTGGGTACCACGTGCAAAGGTGAGGACCACGGGCTGCTTGATGGCCGGATTATCCCCATTTCCAACATATGTTCGAACTCAGCTTTAACGGCTTTTGGCTTTTCTAGGGACAAAGCTCGAAGCTTTGCAAAGACTGGCGGGCCAGTCGTAGCAATATGATGCGTGACATCGGAAGTCACACATGGTAGACCACGGCTAGGTTTAAACAGGTCAGGAAAAGATTGAAGTATGTGGGAATATGGGCCAGCTGAAGTGGGTGTAGCATATACCGGGCTGAGGGCTGGGCCCTGTGTGGCGATACCGTTGACAGAGAGGTTTGTGACTGGATCTCTTAACTTGCGGTTACCAGTATCTACCAGTAATTGATAGTGCTGCAACAGATCCATACCAATTATACCTGTGGTCACGTCTGCCACTAGGAAGACCCAACGAAATGAGCGGCGCAAGCCGATATTAAGGTTTATAAAACGCCTGCCGAACGTAGCAATAGGCGAACCATTTGCGGCTCGTAGTTGTAAAGACATTGGCCGCCTGCGCTCCTCTACTGTGGGTGGGATTACACTGACCTCCGCTCCGGTATCAATGAGGAAGCGTATCCCCGTGTTACGGTCAGTAACGTAGAAGAGGCGACATGGGAGTGGTTCGCCAGCGACGTTAGTCGCCAATACGTGCTGGCCTGCTAGTTTCCTGACTGCTGGTCATCGAAGGTGCACCGGCGAGTGCACTTTTGGGGCTTTGCACGATAACGCCGATGATCACAGCACAATCCAGGCTGGGAATTTCGAGACTCACGACGCCTACTGCTAGCACGTTAAAAGGATCTATTACGAGTCGAGTTGGTGCAACTACCCGAGTGACCTCTGGTTTTCATCTCCTGTCTAATACTACATATCTCCTCGTAAAGCTTGGTTATATGGGCCACTGCTTGATGATCCCCAGGCAGAAGAATCCTTGGTCTGGGCGGGACTGTCGGTTACCGCAGCCGAAATGCTCATGTTGGATCTAGTAGCCTTCACTGCTCTATCGTCTGCCTTGGCTAGTTCCGGGAAGGGGGACTTGTAGATCGGGGCTAAAATGCCCTAAATCGTCTGAGGCAATCTTTGTAACCAAACCTGTTTTACAAAGGCATCAACTACTGTGAAGTCAGTGACTAACTGTTTCATCTGTCGTAACATTTGAGTGGGCTTTCTGTCACCGAGCTGAACATCTCGAAAAAGTTCTTGCACTTTCTGTTGGTCAGTGAGTGCAACGCGCTTAATTAGTGCCTGCTTTAGACGCTCATACAGGTCGGCGGACGGATCCTCGAGAACGTCAGACACTTCCTCCATGACATTTTCGGGAAGGCTCACAAACACCAGATTTACCTTGGTTTCTTGTGAATGTATATGTCTGAGGGCGAACAGAGTTTCTACGTGGCCGAACCATGCAGCAGGACGATGTGTCCAGAAGGTGGGGAGTTGCAAGGTGATAGCCATCTGTGAAGGAGAACTGTTGTCGGCCATCATGCGGACAAGACGATATATATTAACAGAGTGATAACAACAAATATAGGAGTAAAAACAAGGCAAGTAAAATTTTATAACTCTACGTGAAAAATAAACAAATTAGTCAATATGTAAAAGAATTATAACACGGGCTCATCACTTGTAACAGTTAGACTAGCCAGTACTCCACTGATTTTTTAAATAGTCCTCGCCAACTGTGATATCGGATAGCTGTGATCACACCTGAAATAAAATTCAAATCCCCACAGACTAACACTAGACTTTAGTGTTTCCACTTCGTATAGATAACTTCTTAGGGCAATACCCGAAGGTAATGTGTGTGCTGTTATAATTTCAAATTATACTGCTCTGTTTTCTGTTTTGATTGTGTTATTGTCAGGATAGTGTAACACACAGTGAATATTGGGGATGTCAATAATAATAATAGTAATGTGTTGGCAATTATTTTTCTTTTTTCTTTGTGGCTAAATAAACAACAAATATTTCCTGTTTATTACTGTTGTTGTTGTTATTGCGTTACAGCGAAAATATTCATTCAGACATTTAGAAAAGCAAGAAAAACAACAACAAACAATTGGGCGAAGAATATCCTTCTCGACTATTTCCTCTTCTGGCTCTATAATTATATATATCAATACATATTTATACACAGAATATTCTAGAATAATCGCCACTAACAATATTGGTGCTTTTGAAAAAAATGTCAACGAAATTATAGTTCAAGAAAGATGCTTAAGTTATAAATAAGAAGCGGTAAAAGTGTAATAGTAAATAGAATATCAAAATAAAATGAAGGAAATCTCTACAACAGTAAATTAAGGATCATTAAAACGTTGATTGACTGCCAAGGTAAGGAAAATGTCTGGACCAACCAACTTCTTCTTTTGGATACATAGATTAGGCTTCTTAATGCGGATTCGAACAGCCTCTGACGTGTGTAGTGGACGAACTCTTGAGGTAAAGTTAAGATTGGTTGGTCGGTGTGCGGTAGATGACTTTGAAAGCCGTCTTGTTAATATCAATCCTGTCTTCTGTATCCACGAGATGAGATAGAATAGAACCTTGAATCGACTTTGTTTCTCCCTTACTTAACCAATGTGCAGGATGGCTTTTTTTCTAGTCTGACGATAAATACGCCTAATTGTACGGCCAATACAACTAACTGGCTGTCTCCACAGGAGCAGTCGAATTGTGATAGATGCACATAGAGGAGGAGGAGGCGAAGTGAGGTAGTTTATCTTTTGAGGATACAGATCACTTCAGCAACACTGAATAACCTTCTTATCGTATTGCTTAGGCGTCGAGGAAGTGAAGTTGTAAGAACAAGGCCTTTCTTTTTCGGAGCTGCTGGTTGGTACTTTGACCTGCCTGCCTGCCTTGACTACTTGAATCATATTCTTATCGATGAATTTTTCTGGGGAGAGGTTTTCATTCACCAACTGTTTAATAATATTAAGATCTTCATTAAGACTTACATTGTATAAAATGTACTCGGTGTTATTTCTAAACAACCAGTTGCAACAAATTTTCGACTTTTTTTTCTTGTCATATACATTCTTCTGAACAGCTATAAGGAGAATAACACTTGTTCAGTCTGTCTGAACTTACGTAGTAATAATTTCGCAATCAGTCAAGTTAACCTCAAATGTTATGTATTTCACTTTGTTTTGTGAACGTGTCTGGCGCTAGGGATCAATTATTTTGTATTTTGATAATAGGTGTCTGTGATGTATCGCCCGTGTTAGTTGGTGTAGGCGGTAGGTGTAGCAGACAGGGTGGTGAGCAATATTGGTGTGAGGCATCAGTCGGTCGAGTGCTAGATAAGGAAGGGGGAGGAGGAGGGGAAATCAATTGACAATGAGGTTGTGAAACAGTTACATCGGCTGAGATGGATTTTTAGGACATGTGTTACGCATCCCTGCCTGCCTCCCTGTCTAGCCATCACCTTCCTTGACAACGGACGGGACAATGTTAGCCACTGACTGACAGGATGGATGGATCAGATTAGATAGGAGTCAGCTAATGGTGGTGGTCAAACCGAAACGTGGCTTTATCATCAGTCAATGACATCCACAACAGTCAGTTTAAGCCAGCCAGCCAGTCACGTACGGAGGTGTAGACTTTATTAGTTTGTTTATTTGACTACCTGACTGCCTTGTTGGGGTCTTTGGGATGGTGATGAGAGCCAACGAAGACTGGAGACAATCAGTGATGTTGGCTGGCTGAAAATCGTTCTGGGTGATGGCTGGCGCTGGTGCAGATGCATTCACTCTTTGTGATGATTTATCATATCCAATAAAACTCTGCTGTTCTTCAACATTACTATTCTTTCTGCTTCACTCACACTTCAGTTTATTATCTGTCTCTATCTCTTTTTTTAATCTGTGTGTGTTTACTCTCTTCTCTTGCTTTGTTTGGTACATGGAGGGTGTGGCAACTTGGACTGTTGCGCATCTGTGCATAGTAGTTCTACCTTGAAACCAGCCAGTCAGCATGATGGTAAATTCCTATCATGTTTATACATATATATAGTTTAAATCATCTTGTCTTATCTTTTAGAATCCCCTGTCCCTCATGCTTCAACTGAACTTGAATCGGTTAGGCCACAATCTGCTGGTGAAGAACAACTTCATTTGCAACTCGCTTTGGCTATTAGTAAAGAAGAACACGATAGAGAGGAACGCCGAAGACGAGCTGAAGAGGCAAAAGAAGAAGCCAAAGTACAAATGGTGATAGAACAGAGTCGTCGGGAAGAACAGGTAACGTTATTTTGCATATACTTATTCATTCTATTGCCATCATAAGCAAGCATTGTTGTAAAAATCTCAGTTTTGAGTGTTGACCAATCATTTTTTGTCGCTGACATATATATGTATCTATTTGTCTTCAATAAAATTGGTAACATTTATTTCTCCAATACGAATTTAAAACAAGCAAAAACAGAAGGTGTTGTTGTTCATAAAGCAGGATTTAGTGAATTCATCAAATTTTGGTAGAATTCTTCCACATGTGAATACTGCTCTACATACAGGTGCGTCGGTGGCACAGTGGTTAGGACTCTCGCCGACCATGCACATGGTCCGGGGTTCGATCCCCTGCCGGCGCACACCCGATATCTATGGTCGGCCTGAATTTGGGCTACCGATATCCATGCTGAAAATTCCATACTTGTACTAAAAATACGGTATGGCGTCAAGCTGTAATCAAAAATAAAAAAAAATATATGCATAGATTATTGGAAATACATTGGAAGATATAAGATCTGATAAGCAAATAAACTACATTGAATTAAACGTGCAAAACGACACATGTGTGAACCTTTTCCAGGTCATGTTCAAATCGATAAGGGGAGGGAGGCATGAGAAATTAAAATTAAGATAAAGTGCAATACGCTTCCATTAAATCATTTAGATAAACAATCAGTCATTAGAGAACGAACTTTAATATTTCAAGAGTTGCGAACTGAGTTCTAATAATAGTAATAATGTTGAGACGAGTTGAGGTATTGCTACTGATAAAAGATAGTTTAAAATGAATCAAGAATAATAATAATAAGAGGTAGAATAAAGTGGCAATAATAATGATAATAACAGTTAATTGATAAAACCTATTACCATGGTAGATTCAGAGCGACGACCATTTCCTTTTGTGTACACAGAAAGACCTGGTTTATAAACTCTAATTGCACAATAGCCTCCTTCGGGATCGCAAGCATCTTCCTGTTTCTTTGTCTGCTGACAGTAGCAGTGAATGACTAGACAGCGTCGATATCATGTCCATAGTGTTATGATGCTAGATCCTTTGTCACCAGGTCACTGCTTAACTACTGACCAGTGCCCACTTAACTGGTAAAGCAGAACACGAAGAGAATCAACGGTAAAACCAGGTTCATTTATTATGACAAAAGTGACTGTATTTATACAGAAAATAAGGTAGACTGGAAATCAACCAATCCGGTTGAGAGTTTGAATTGTGCAAGCGTCCAATCAGAAGCAGGAACAATTGCGTGTCAACGACTTGTTAATAACGCGATAATAACTTGACTGAGAGATAATAATGACCTGATAATTGCATGTGTTTTGCCTCTTCCTAACACGTAGTCCATAAGGTGCTTTGTTATTGAGCTTTTTGGCACTTTGAATTCAGCTGTTTTCAGCCGTCATGCGAGTAAACATTCGTCTTTCTGTACGACCTATGTATTTGCCTCCACAAACACACTCTTCATATTAATACACGCAGTTTGACGTATCGGGTCTTTCCCAGATTGTTGAAGCACCCTCTTGGTAGTGTTATGGAACACGAGCTTTGCAGCATAAAAAGTTCTCTTGATAGATTTATCGAGTCTTAGTTTGACCACTTCTTGTACACATCATCTCCTTTGAGAATGGCTAATTTGATATAGACAGATTTCTTTGAAACTGTTTGGATAGTTTTCTTGAGGGTTCATTTCTTAAGAGTATTTATCAATGAATTTCTCAGGATATCTCCATTCTTAGATAAAAAAGCTTTCAGAGCCTTCATTTCATGTTCAAATGTACCGTAAGAACAAATTTCGCGTGCTCTGTTGAACAGTGTTCTGACTGGGTTCTTTTTTTACTAGATTGGAACAAAACTTTTAAAGTGTATGTACTACTGTCTTCACCATGAAGAAACTTTCTAAATATAAATCTTTCGATTGTGCCGTCAGTGTCCTTTTCACTAGATAGAAACGTCTAGGAATCTAATGGTACCATTTTCCTTGTGTTCCGTTGTGTCGTGTTTGTTTAGTTTATTTGACTCCATTTTTATTACTCTAAGCTGAGTATTATTATTATAATTATTATTATTACTAATTCCTAGTAGTAGTAGTGTGGCGTATGCTACTGATAAGACTTCTCAGTAGTATGTGTATAAAGAGATGTTCACTGGCATAAAAATATCAAATAACAGGGAGATGGATTTGATGCGAGAGATAGTTAATAACACAGCGTTATGCAGAGATACATGGAAGACGTGAAAGCAACACAAAGAGACAGAATATGAAGGGAGGGCAGAAGTAGAACAACACGGAAGATCTGGGCAAATGGTGCGTTGAAGATAAGGTGTACATAATTCCGCTATATAAATAGACATACCAAATTCCAAATATAAACATTCCTGTTACCGAGTCTTTCGTCGCCTACCGTTATAGTAGTACTGTGTTATTAGTCATAATTATAACCTCTCCTCTCTCTTTCCCTTTCCCTTACTTTCTCATCTTCTATAATGTGTACTATTAATATTGTCTCAATTCTACCACTACTCAGTCCATTTCCTCTCTCTCTCTCTCTGCAGTGTCACACTTCCCGTATTTGTCTTTGATTCTTCTTCTTGCCTTAATTATTTGCTAAGGTAGCCAGATAGGTAGGTCGGTAGGTAGGTTGGCAGTTAGTTTGCTCTGAGATTGAGGCACACTCATTTGCAGACACACAACACAGCCAGTCTATAGTTCTTAAACTATAAAAAATATACTTAGTGTATTGTCGTGTCAGTTATGAGACATAGTCAACACCGATTAGGGTACATACATACATATATGTGATGGGGAGGCACTATTGTAAGCCATACCAACTCCAACTGCATTTACCAATTCACTTGTACTTGTGGCAGCAAGTACATAGGAACGACTAAGAGAAGAACAGCGTCTACTAGATTCTCCGAGTATATTCCTAAAAGTTTCCGTTTGAAAGGCAACAAAGTGTTCTCAAGTGCAATTGCCATACAACACCTAATTGACCGACACACAAGACATACACAGTGGAAATTAGCCTGCAGGCTTTCGGAATAATCAATACACAAAGAAAAGCATGGCTATTCCGGTTCGCAGGAGCCACTGCCATCAAAACACCTCCACCCGACATATGCATACTGTGCAAAGATAGTGTGACTAGTCTCTCACTACCCTACTTGGCAACCGTAATTATTTTGTTCGTGTGCTTTTGTGTTTTGTTTTGTTCTGTTGCATAACATTCCGCTCAATCTTGATATTGATTTTCACTTACTGACTGAGTTGAACTCACTATTAAGGTTACAAATCTACCAAAACTAAATTATTTCACCTATTTTTGTTATGTCACTATTCACCCTCATCCACCCTCCTGAACTCTCCACCATAACTTGTACAAATTCACTCTGTTGTTCTGCCTTGTATTTTGTCTCTAGTCTATCCTTCTATCCAAGCAAAATCTGAAGTCTCCTCCATTGTCTAATTACCTATGTAAATAGTTACTCTTTTAACACTAAATAATTGTCTGCTTACATCACCTTTGGAATTATGTAGCCTATACTTTCTATCTATAACTGGATTCAACATAGAACTTGGCACCGAAGTGCAGCAGTTCGAGTTGCCACTTGAAGTCATTGTAAAAAGTATGTTCAGACATCATTTTGTAACTTAAAAATGATTTATTTGGGTTGTAGGCAGTTGATGAGAATCGTTGTATTTTCAAGTATTGGTTTTGTTTGATTGGTTGGAGGATTTCATCATGAACTGTCATCAGTTAGAGTTCATGGACTCATCATTGGATCGTGTCCCAGTGGCTGCTTAATGGTCTACGAGCTAGCTCGCCTTGTAACCAGAAGGTCCTGGGTTCGAAACCTGTCGATGGTTGGATGATTACTGCTGAAGAATGCCAAACTAGGTGGGACGAACCAGCTCCGTCCAGTACTCCCAGGTGGTTTTCCAATGGTTCCCTAACTAACGTAAGCTCATGATGAAATCCTGTAACCAATCCTCGTATTAACTCCATTATGGATAAGATTTTATTTTGATAAATCACACAGTGTTGTACAGTTATATTAACTGATGACCACGTTTCGAGCACAATTTATTATTGCCACTCATAATCATATCAAGTCACTCACTCACACAACTTTTTTCCTTCATTTATATACGTGTGGAATTGATGATTAGACACTTGAATAAAAATCAATATGGGATAACGTACATTCAGAAATAATAACAATAATACTAGTGTTATTGATCAATTACAATCAGATGGGAAATAAGACGAGTGTTTTTATAGTCAAAATAAATGAGTAACTTGTTAGAATGTTGTGATGTACGTCAATTGAAATAGAATACAATTTAAGATTATTTATTATCCTCCTCTGATTTCGCTGACTGACTGACTGGTGGTGATAATATCTTCCATGCATATTTCTGGTATTTACATTGAGTCATTTCTGTTGCATGTGTTGGGTGTAGATTCGATGAACAAGGATTCCGTAATCAACCTCTCTCTCCACCTACATAGATAACTTTTTAGAATCTTAACCCTCTCCCACCATGCTATTGTGTGGTTGTGTGTTAATGCGTGAACGTTTTTCTAAGTTACTCATCTTCTCGGGGTCAACCATTCTTCCCTTATTACCGCCGGTCAAATCAGAGGAGGATAATAAATAATCTTAAATTGTATTCTATTTCAATTGACGTACATCACAACATTCTAACAAGTTACTCATTTATTTTGACTATAAAAACACTCGTCTTATTTCCCATCTGATTGTAATTGATCAATAACACTAGTATTATTGTTATTATTTCTGAATGTACGTTATCCCATATTGATTTTTATTCAAGTGTCTAATCATCAATTCCACACGTATATAAATGAAGGAAAAAAGTTGTGTGAGTGAGTGACTTGATATGATTATGAGTGGCAATAATAAATTGTGCTCGAAACGTGGTCATCAGTTAATATAACTGTACAACACTGTGTGATTTATCAAAATAAAATCTTACCCATAATAGAGTTATTCTCTACCACTGCAGTGCCCAAGTTTTATACTTATATCAACAATCCTCGTATTATGAAAACTGTGAATTTGTTCATTCTATCCTTATTCAAATGTTCGATATGCTAACTGATTACTCTATATTTTGACATACTTCTTACATCCTGTTTATTTATTTATTTATAGAAGGATAAATCAAGTCGACATTCAACATCAAATATTCCTTCAGCATCTAGTGCTTTTGAATCACCATCGTATACTTCTAGTGGTGGATTATTCAGCTTAGTTGATACTTCATTATCGGCTGCACCAGCTCATCTACCAGATCCATGGTCAACACCGTTAGTACCTCCAAACAATCCCCTGAATAATACATCATCGCCTACTCCGTCTACTTCGTTTACTAATAATACATTGGCTCCGTCAACGTCGACATTTCCACTTGTACCTATTGATGATCCTTGGAGTCCAAAAAGTAAGGTTTCATTAATTCGCTTTATACATCTTTATGTATTATTATGTATCTTTTCATGTATACTGCTTATATCATGGCCTGTTGGAAATGCTTTTCCTGATGTTAATGCCATGTTCCTGACCCATATAGATGAAGTGACTGACTAACTGACTTTGCTGACATTTGTGTTGAAAATGCTAATCTTATTGTTTATGATGGTGCGGAGTGGAGAAGATTTCCAAAGTGGTTTCTGGTCGATGAAGGTGTATCTTGCCTTTCCGATTCTGCCTGGCTGGCTGGTTTTAACATCTTCATCCGTTCTGGCTGACTGCCTGTGGTTGAAACGATGCTGGTTGCCTAGGCTAGATAAGTGAAGGCAGGCAAGAAGCCATCTACTTCAACATCTTTCTCCCGTTGATGGTGATTGGTGCTGTTTGTTGCTGTTGCTGTTGGTGATGGTGGTTGGTTGGTTGGTCATCTTTATCACCTCCGTCTCCACCTTCTTTATCTTCATCACCTGGATGGAGGCAGTCCTGTCTTCGCCGCCAGCCAGCCAGCCAGTTTGTTGCCCGTTTCCGCCTGCCTGCATGCAAGTCTTCGAGTTTGTGTCACATTAAACATAAATCATCCACACGTGAAATCTAGATGTTCTAGAAATCTAGATGTTCACTCACTCACTCACTCACACCCAACGCACAGTCTTACGCATAATCCAGTCGACCACAATTGAGAATACCATCGTTGGTGATAATAGGCAGGCAGGCAGGCAGACAGGCAGCCAGCCAGCCAGCTTTTCTCACTCCTGTCACTACACTACACCATCAACATAACACTACACTGAATGAATATTAGAGAAATGAAGAGAAATAATAATACAAATTGATGAATTTATAGTCTCCACGGAAGTCTGGCCAGGGCACCAGTAGTGGCTGGTTTGACCTATTTCTTCTGCACACAGAGCACCGGTTGTTTCAGGCGAATTGCAATAGCTTCTGTTGTTTGGAGTATTCGGTACCTGGATGGTTTTGGCAATTTGTTTGGTTGGCACCCGATAGCTGATAATGGAGAAGGACTCTCCAATGCTGACTCTGTGGCAGGTTTGGACCAGGTGGTCTAATAACGAACTATTGCTACCCTGACCTAAGTTGAAACATTTTAGTTAATTGTATTACGTCATCTAACTTACTAACTCAATCTTACTTTAGTTGCTGTCTAATTAACCTTTTTTCTCTATTAGATCATTCTTGTATTACCTGATTAATAATCTAAACTTGATAAACCTCATGTACGCACACACACACAAATAATTATATATAAAAGCGATTGTACAGCTATGTGAATGAATTCGCCATCGAAAAGAGTCTCTTTTTTAATCTCGAACTGTGTAGTACACCTTTATTTAGCCGCACTGGTGGTGGTACAGCACGAAAAATCAAGTTCCTTAGAACAACGGCTACTCCACCACAAGTGTAGTTGAATTGGTAGATACAATTAGAGAAGTAGCTAGTCTAGTTTAGGTGCCTTCATCTTTCAATTGAGGAATCACCATGCACATGGTCCGGGGTTCGATCCCCGGCCGACGCACTCCTTTACCTCGCTAAGCCAGAAATAAAGCTGGTAAAGAGGAAGGGTTGGGCATGAGGCTAGCAACCCCATCCTGTAAAAATAAATACTGCTACAGAAACTTCAAGCCACTAGCTTGAAGCCCTATGTTCCACTGGGGAACGTGAAGGAAAAAACTAAAACTAACTGACTAACTATTATGTATATATTTATAACTGTAGAACTTGATGAAGAGCAGGTTATCGAAAAGAATATTCAGTGGTCATTCTTTTGAAAAAAACGAAAAAAAATATATATGTATAACTTAGTTTACAATAAATAATATTGTGATGAATATTTTTTGCATTGTTTTTAATATGCACAGGTCAGCCAAATGTTCAAGCCTATCCTACAGCAAGTAATTCAGACAGTGTGTGGAATTTAGAATCGACTCTAGGTGCTACACTACCGTCCACATCGAATATAAATAATGAATCGAATCCATTAAATCATCATAATCAACAGCATAACATAACTACTAACAACACCAACAACACTGTCACTACCACTCCAGCTACCACCACCATGGCCAACAACAATGGTCACTTTGATTTTGATTTAAATGGAAATGTAGCTAATGGTAGTGAAAGTTTTCAGCAACAACAACAACAACAATTGCAGCACCAGCAGTTTGTTGCTTCGTCTTCTTCGTCGTCTTCTTCTGCTTCTCAAATCAATCAGGCCTCTTCATCACCATCATCAGCCAACGAGTTGCAACAAGACCTGCAACAACCTGTACGTAAACGAACTCCTGCTGACTTCTTAGGTGAACATCAAAAACTGGTTGATCTAGAAAAATTGGTTGAGAAAAATCCAGGTATTTATTTTTTTTATCTGTATATATGTTTTTGTGAAAGCTTTCTTTTTTCTTTTTCTTTTTTATGTGAAGGATGAGTTTATTTATTTATTGAACCATTTCAAGCTGTATTTTTTCGGGTTTGACAATCTATGATGAAAGATTTGGGTGTGGAGGAAGCGTGTGCGCCACAAGAAAGTACATTGCACCAATCAAGGCACTGCTGTACTCGTACTAATGCAGCCGTGTTGTAAGAGCTTACGAAGAGAGAGAGAGAGAATTGATATGATGACAACCAGTGGTGTCCGTCATTTGCAGGGGAGTGTGTGATTCCTAGTGTCCTCTGTTTTTTCTGTTTAATTTCATCAAAGATGTGCACTATAATGGAATGAAAGCTCAAATGATTTCAGTGACTGACTTAGGGATTAACGTGATTAACGTCATCAGGGAATAGTCCTGTTGACCAAGAGTATATGGATGATACTAGTCCGCCTTCTAGGGGAAGATGTTGATAAATTAGAGAGCACAGTCTTCTGAACACCTTGAGCGGCTGCAACCTTCGAATGTTTTGGCATGCGAGATTTGTAACTGTCAAGTGTTAGATGATGCTACAGGACTGGACTACATTGACTCCTAACTTAAAGATAGACAGGAGTGAAGTGGTGCCTAGTTGAGCGTGTTGACCACTTCACTTATTTGGAAAGTTGCGTCATCTTCGCCAAGCATACAAAAGGCTTGCGTGGAATTTGCCGTCTTTGCCATATCAGGCGTAGTATCCGGTTGGCTGTCGAACAAAGGACGTGTGTGCTGCTTACCAGTTCGCTCCATCCTGCTTTATGGCTGTGAGACATGGCCAGTAAAAAAAGAAGATACGAAAAGCCAGGCTGGCTGTCTTTGATCACAGTTGTCCGCGTTCTATCTCTTATGTTAGGAGGTATAATGTGATGAGTAAAATTCAGGTTAGGCGTCGAGTGTTAGGCGGAGAGATCAGGTTGTGAAGGAGAATCTGTTGAGATAGCTAGGTCATGTGTTACACGTGCATAGCCATCGTTTTTGTATCTCTATGGTGACTGACTGACTGACTAGTTTCAACATACATCTTTGCACAAATGTGTACCAGTTCAACTTGCCACACTCCCTCCATGTACCACACAAACCAAGAGAGGACAGTAAAGAGAGATTCAAAAGAGAGATAATAAAGAGAAGTGTGAGTGAGGCAAAAACAATAGTAATATGAAAGGAAATTAGAGTTTTATTGGATAGGGTAAATCATCACAAAGAGTGAATGCATCTGCACCAGCGACAGCCATACCACCACCTGTTTCCAACCATTCTGTCTGTCTGTCTGTCTGGATTCAACATAGAACTTGGCACCGAAGTGCAGCAGTTCGAGTTGCCACGTTCCAAATAGCACACAAAGGTAGACGGGAAAAGGAGAGAAGAGAATCAATAGAATTTAGATAAGTATAAGATTGAAACAGAATGAGTAATGGTAGAAAGGAATATGAAGGTTAAAGAGACTGAATACATCTGCGCCATTGACAACGATTTTGAGCCATGTCACCTATTGTCTCCAGCCATTGATTCTTAGAGTCCCGAGGGCCCCAACCCGGAAGTCTGCATCTCCCTACCTGACCCAGTTTAACTGTCAGGGATTTCATGGATTGATGCCATGTTTTTGTTTGGCCACCGCTTACTCTTTTCCAACCTGCACCTATATCAGCTAGTAATGCCCGTCGGGGGAGACGATGGTCAGGCATGCGCAGCACGTGGCCTAACCATCTCAATCTATGTAACTTCATAGCCTCTTCGAGTGATTTTCCCTCTTTGCCCAACACTCTACGCCTAACGTCAACATTACTTACCTTATTATACCACCTAACGTGAGAAAGAGATCGTAAACATCTGTGGTCAAAAACAGACAATCTCTTCATGTCTTCCGCTCTCAATGGCCACGTCTCACCGCCATAGAGAAGGACGGAGCGAACTGATGAGCAGTATACACGTCCCTTGGTTGACAGCCGGATGTCACGCCTACGCCAGAGATGGTGTAAGTTAGCGAAAGCAGCCCGAGCTTTCTGGATCCGTGCTGTGATTTCGTCACCAATCAATCCGTTGGTGCTGATACAACTTCCCAAATAGGTGAAGTGGTCAACATGTTCTATCACTTCACTCCCTATCACTAAGCTAGGAGTTGACGTAGTCCAGTCCTGTAGCAGCATCTTACATTTCACAGGGGCGAATCGCATGCCAAACATACGAAGATTGCTGCTCAAGGTGTTCAGAAGACTCTGCATTCTGTCAGCGTCCACCCCTAACAGGACTATGTCGTCTGCGTCCAACCATTGGTACACTTAGCATCCTATGGACCGCAACCAAGAAGCCAATACGGATTTAGTGATGATGGCTCTTTATTTTAACTTTTACTGATTCCCAATTTGATACGATTATCATCAGGTGCCACTAATAATAATAATAATGAAGTAACTGTCTTCACAAAAGAAGAAATGATGGTTATCATAAGACATGACTTATTCACATTGGAAATCCCAGGAAATACATACCGTATCCCGTTATCTGTTCTGGGCAGTCTTCTTATTATTGGATTAATCAGCATAATCTGAGTGATAATAATTGTCGTGTGTGTAGTTTCTTGCACATTTTCGACTAATGTTATCCCATAGACTAATGTGATAATCCAATTTGGCTGACAGACTACTTTTTTAAATTCTCTCTTCAGTATATTCGAATTGTGGTATTCCCCTTCGCAGTAGAGGTGGTGTCGAATTCCTCAGGTGGCGGGGGGGGTGTAAGAATTCTTTCAAGATGGTTGCAGATACACGCCAGCCTTGCTGACTGGTGAAGGTCTTTGGACAGGGCTTCCTTCCAATTGCCTCGAACCAAATAACAACGATATCGATTTATTTTAAAGTTTACTCTCCTACATCTGTAAAAAATGCCCATTTAGACATTTAGAGTGCAAAAAGGATTGAACAGCGAAGAAATATTTACTTTTTACAGGATTTCATCATAAGCTGACATTGACATGGACTGTCAATGCCAGCTCATGATGAAATCCTGTAACCAACCAATCAAATCCCTAGAAACCAATACTTGAATTTACTTATTAATAAGATCCTCACCTCACACTGGCTCTACTCTAATATACAACACCTACAGCATTCTTAATACAATACACAGCATTTTACCAATCAACATGGCACTGATATGTTTGTTAACACATATTATTATTATTATTGTATTATTATTGTTCCCTTGGGTTCCTAGTAGAACATAGGCCTTCAACTGCACGTCTCCACTTGTTTCTGTCTTGATTTAGTAATAGCGCTTCATTTTAATTCTTTATTGCAGGGATTTGATTGGTTTTACGATTTCATCATGAGCTAACATCAGTTAGAGAGAACCATTGGAAGGGAGCAGCCTTTGATAAAAGTCTGCAACTGGCTGTTGGAAATCCTTTTCGTGACACCAACGCTAAGTTTCTGACTCGTATGGAAAAACTGACTGCCTTCATTGACATTTATGCTGAATAAAATCCGAACCTTGTTGTTTATGCTAGGTGAGGCGGAGTGAAGCAGAAGATTTGCAAAGTGGTTTCAGATTGATGAAAGCGTATCTTGCTTGTCTTTCCGATTCTGGCTGGCTGGCTGGCTACCTAGATCGGTGAAGACAGGAAGCAACGTCTTTCAACCTCATTCTCCCGTTGATGGTGTTTGGTGCTTGTTGTTGCTGCTGTTGGTGGTGGTGGTAGGTTATCTTCATCGTCTCCGTCTTCACCTTCTCTGTGTGTTCACCTGGATGGAGACGTGTCTTCTCTGGCAGATAGACAGTCTCTTCAGCCAGTCTGTTGCCAGTTTTCGTGTGCCTCTAAGTCTTTGAGCTTGTGTTTGTGTGATATTAAACATACAAATCGCCCATGCCCGAAATCCAGACATTCTAGAGTCTTGTTATCGGTCAGTGCAGCGTATTCCTGCCTCCTCACTCACTCACTCACTCAACCTCAATGCAGTCTTCCTCATAATCCAGTCGACCACAATTAAGAATATCATCATCGTTGACGAAAATAGGCACGTGGTCAGGTTGTCTTACTTCTGTATTCCCTCACTTCAAAGGCATGCTTCGCTGAGTTTTCTGTTGCGGATCACCTGTGACACTGTGACATTGTCATATAAAGGTAGCTGCTGAATGAGGTTGATAAGACATACCATACCGCCACAGTAGTGTATAAAGTTTCTCCCATCAGTCAAAAATATCACATTATTGAGAAAATGCATTGTAGTCCAGGGAGAGAGAGGTTGGGGGTGGATATAAATGACGCATGCATCTTTTTTTCTGAAAACTAAAAAAAGAGTTAAACTGTCATAAAATTTATTCACTTTAAGTTCTAATTTTTTTTGTGAAGGTTGAAAGCACGTCCCTAACACAAATTCTCACATTATATCAACTTTGTGTAGACAGAAGATGATGATTACTCACACCATAACTAGACCACTTTTTCTTATGATGCAGCACAAAATTGTGTGTGTGTGTGCGTGTGTGAATTTGTCTAAATGACATGTATTCATTATTGATCTGTTACGATATTATTGTCTATCTAAGTGAATTGCATTTATTTTTATAAATGTGTGACGCAACATGTGATCTGATCATGTGTTACAGCTACGTGCATTTGGGTTTCAATGTGTGTTTAGTTGATAGGAAGACAGAGAGAGAAGTAACTTACCTTATTTATTTTCTCACATTCAGTAAAGCGTTTATCAATACAAAACGGCTACTATTGATTGATTGATTGATTGATTGCAGTGATTGTGTAATCATACGTGTTTGTGCGTGTGTGCGCGTGCGTGCATATATAGATACACACACGCACACACCATTCAGTATTATTTTTATACCATCAAGATAAAAACTGATGATAACCTGATTATTATTATTGATAATAGTAACCTTTTATTCTACTTATCCGTGATAATTATTATGTGATTGTAGTAATAGAGATG